GGGCACGGGTTCAATCCCTGGTCAGGGAACTAAGATCCCACATGCCACGCAGTGTGGCCAATAAATAAATAAATAAGTAAAATTTTAAAATGGTTATAAAGCTTCGAGATGATAAAGGGGTTTTTAAAGACTAAAAAAAGACACCAACTATTACAGGATTATACATTGAGATTAGAAGGAGATTAGGTAAATCTTGTCCTAATGACAGTATCAAATACAAGACTTTTTAAGTTGGAACTACTTTATTTTCATTGACTACATAGCCTGGATTTTTGGAATAGTTACAATTTCATTCCATTTCCATAAACCAATGGCTTTTTGGAAATTACAATATTCTGTTATTCAAACTAGGCTACATCTGCCAAACTACCTCTTCTATCTGGAAATAAAAGTTCTTTGTGGGGTCATGTGATCTAAATGTTGGTTTCTGTAAATAAATCAGCATAGATAAAATGAAAAAAAAAGGCATCAGGTTACAGATTTAGGAAATCCTGACTCTAGTCTCTGTTGAATTACTGGCTTTCATGAAGTGAGCACTAGACTTTCAAGTAGCTAATACAGAAAGAAATACAACCAATATTAAGATCCACAGTATCTATGAGGAAAAACGAAACCAGTAGCACAGGAGAAGCCCAATTATTCCTGATTCTAAGAATTGAGATATATTTCTCTATTAAAGCCTCAAAGAGATAATATGAACATTGACATCCCTTCCTTATAGTAAGCACAGGAATGTGTTTCAATGGGTTTCTTTTTTTTTAATTGAGTTATAGGTGAAGCAGAATATTATATAAGTTATAGGTGTACAATATAGTGACTCACAATTTTTAAAGGTTATACTCCATTTATAGTTATTGTAAAACACTGGCTATATTCCCTGTATTGTACAATATATACTTGTAGTTTATTTTATACATAATAGTTTGTATCTCTTAATCCCCTATTCCTATATTGCCCCTCCCCCCTTCCTCTCCTCACTGGTAACCACTAGTTTGTTCTCTGTATCTGTGAGTTTGCTTCTTTTTTGTTATGTTCACTAGTTTGTTGCAATTTTTAAATTCCACATATAAGTGATATCATACAGTATTTGTCTTTCTCTGACTTATTTCACTTAGCATAATATCCTCCAAGTCCATCCATGTTGTTGCAAATGGTAAACTTTCATTCCTTTTTATGGCTGAGTAGTATTCCATATATATATATACACACCATATCTTCATTATCCATTCATCTATTATGGACACTTTGGTTGCTTCCATATCTTGGTAACTATAAATAATGCTGCTGTGAACACTGGGTTGCATGTATCTTTTCGAATTAGTGTTTTTGTTTTTTCCAAATACATATCCAGCAGTGGAATTCCTAGGTCATATGGTAGTTCTATTTTTAGTTTTTTGAGGAATTTCCATACTATTTTCCATAGTGTCTGCACCAATTCACATTTCCACCAACAGGGTATAAAGGTTTCCTTTTCTCCACATCCTTGCCAACATTTGGTGTTTCTGTTCTTTTTGATGATAGCCATTCTGACAGGTGTGAGGTGATATCTCATTGTGGTTTTGATTTGCATTTCCTTGATGATTAGCAATGTTGAGCATCTTTTCATATGTCTGTTGGCCATCTGCGTTTCCTCTTTGGAAAAGTATCTATTCAGATCTTCTGCCCATTTTTTAATCAAGTTGTTTTTTTGATGTTTAGTTGTATGAGTTGTTTATATATTTTGGATATTAACCCCTTATTGGTCATATCATTTGCAAATATTTTCTCCCATTCAGTAGGTTGTCTTTTAGTTTCGTCAACTGTTTCCTGGGCTGTGCAAAAGCTTTTAAGTTTATAGGTTCAATGGATTTCTTATAACAAATATGCTGAAGACTTGAAATCAAAATGCAAATTCAGAGACACTAACATATGCCCTCTAAAATGATGTTTTTGGGAAATAACTCAGCACTTCTTTTGGGTGCAAGCATAACTCCGTAAAGGTAAACATCTGGAATTTTTACACTGCAAACATTAAAGAAGTTCCATCCTTAGTCAAGAATTCAGATGTTCTGGATTGATCTGCTATTTGTAATTAATTTGCTGGTCCTAGTGTGAATACAATATACTTGAACTAAATTTCATTAAATTTCCATCAGATTTAGATAGAATTTCGTTTTCTCTTTCTTTTAGGTAAGTACCCAGAGAAGTAAGAAAACATTTTCTCTCTGGGATTATGCTTGGAACATGCAACAGAAATGTCAGAGTAAGTACAAAATGTGAATGTGCATTTGTTGCATATGAATATAGGGAGAATTCTACTTTTAAAAAAATATACCAATTATCAACTTCCCTAAGTGCAAAGTGATTATTTGCTTTATAAGTTATTTTTTCTGCACAATAGTGACAGCCCACTGATTACGGGACTAAGACAAAGGAAATTTAAAGCAAAACTACTAGGAGGCATAATCCACTAATACTTGCTCAAAAACAAAAATTACTTGAATTATTATGCAAATCAAAAGAAAAATAAGGACTAAAGGTAAAAAATGTCAAACATTCGAATGTATTTTCAGTGAGGCACTTCTATCAAAGCCACCTCTAACCTTTCTTTAACTGGATTGTGTTTGGTTTTGTTTCCCCCACAGGATAAAGAAGAAAACCACTAGAGTTTCTCTGACCATCAGTTCCCCTGTTAATGAAACCTCCAATATCAGATCAAGTTATTCTACCTTAGTTCAACCACTGTGTATTGACCCCCAGAGGGTAGGTTCAGTTTTAAAAGCTTTCTGAGGGGTTCCAGTAATGGAGGCACAGGCCCAGAGAGGAAGGAATCAATGCAACTTTCTTGAAAAGCACACATAGGGAGAGCCTCCAGGTGCATGACCTCAGAAAGAACAAGAGAGAAATCTATGGGTCTCAAAAATAACTCCACGGTAGTTCTGTGGGTTGGCCATTTGTCTGTGTGCCAGGCCATAAGGGACAGTTGGTTTCTAGGAGCTCAGTCCCATAATAGAATATTCCAACTATCCAAGGAATGAATTCCCTTTTAATTAAAAAAAGGGGGAAATGCTTTTTCAAAAATCTAAAAGATACAACAAGAACAACTGTATGGAGAAAGGAAAAAAATCTAATCAGTAAAATTTAGAAGTTATTTAAACCTTTAATACACAGTCTCTAAATACTCATTTCTCAAATGTAATCTCCCAGTGTTGTATTTCACCATCTCAGCTAATGGAATGCTGGAGGAGAGAGAAAAAAGGGTGGCATTGGAGCAGACATTCAAACTGACATTTAAATTAGGAGCATCATCCTTTTCAGAAAGTAAACTTAGGGTGTGGTCGGTAACAGCTAAAAATGATCCAGTTAGTCCATGCCCACCATGCACCTACGTTTTGGGGCCTTGACAATATGGATGATAGTGTCTCTTCTATTTCTTAAACCAGATGCAGAGTCCCTGCAGCAGCCTGTCGGGATCCACTTGTGTAGTAGCCCCTGTGTTTACCAAGGTAACCTATCCACACTGCATGACGCAGTTTGGATTTTATAGATAAATTGTGGGGATTATCAAAGGTGAAAGAAGAAGGAAAGAAAACTAGAAAAGGACCTCAGAGATTATAATTATTTTATATATGAGAAAACTGAGTCCCAGAAAGCATAAAATTATTGTTCAGTGTCACAGAGCAACTCATGGTTTATCCTACGCTCTTTAGATTTTTGCTCTGTGTCAGTCCTCCAGCTCTGGAAGGAAATGCTTAGACTGTCCTTTCCAAGCAGACAATGCTCTGCCTGACCTCAAGATTCATCAGGTTCTCTTAACTGGCCATAAGATGCCCTTCTGAAGTAGTCAACAAGCAAAGCCATATCTACTTCCTGCTTGGGTCACAGTCAGAGATCAGGATTGAGAAGCCTCCTCTATCACTCACTGGAAACAGCAGGATTCAGTCAGTTAGGTCAAACCAAGCTAAGATTGATATCTTCTCTGGGCTCTCTGTTCCAAACCTAACAGAACTGAAACTATTGCCATTGCTGGCCCAAGGTATGAGAAGCATGGCAGGGACTTAACCAGATACAGGATGGGAGACACAGAAAACAATGTCATTAAGAGTAAGGAGCACTACTATCAATTCTGGAAGCCCACTTTCAGCAGATGCCACCAGGCACAAGCGTCTATTATTTCCACAAGTCTCCTGCTGCATTCCTTCCCTGTAATATGCAGCCCTGGGCATCAGGCTCAAGGGTGGGGTTGGTGGTCATTATGTCTTAACTAGGTCTCACCTGATAGAAGGGCCTCTGAGCCTCTCTCTCTCTGGTCTGAGGGCCAAGTTATAATCTGAAATGTAATTCTAGATTCTAGAGGACCCTGGAGCTAAGAATAGGAGAGGAGAGAGATTAGGATTTAAATTTAAGGGGTAAATTTACAACAAATGCCACTCGTTCATATGCATTATGAGACTATACTAGCGTGTTAATAAACACTTCTTATATATATATAACTCTTCATTCTTTAAAGAAAGTTTTCGGATTATTTCTCTGAAATGAGCCTCAAAACCTCAAGTTGGCTGAGCATTTTACTAGCCCTATTTCACAGACAAAGAACATGAGTTCTACAAAGGTTAAGAGTCTTCCAAGTTCCTATGATAAGCTTCAACCAGCTAGTGGCAAAGTTGTGATTTTGGCCCAATTCCTCAAAGTCATGAATCAGAATCCTTAACAAATTACAATACTGCCCATGCTGCTTGACCAATAATAAAGATTAAATCTGTGACTTCACAGGTACTCAATAAAATAACACAACAAAGTGAAGACTTTTCAAGTAATTGGTTTTCTATCTTGAAAAATGGCTCTTGGGGAAGTAAAGAGCCAACTTTCTCATTAAACTCCATGAAACTGAGATTAAAAACTTATACCCGACTGTAAAGCACACTATAAAGCACAAAAGATGCCCAGCAAGCTCCTTATTTTGATTAAGGTACAGTCAGTAGTCAATAATTATGATGAAAAGCATGCACACTTACTGCAGTTGGTACCCCAAATCATTGTATATGGTGAAACAGTTTCTTCCATTCCGTGAATTCTGTGTTTATTCTTCAGCATCTTCAAGACATCTCTACAACCAGAGGTCAGTGTGTTGTGTTTGAATGCCGAGTCCAGGCCACAGCCACAGTTCAAGTTCACTGGTACAGAGAGAAAGAGCAGATAGCAGACTCAGATGACTTCCGAATTCTGAGAAAAAGTACAGTGATAAGCTTTTGAATTTACTTTTCATTCTGATTAACCTTGAAATATAATTCATGTTTTAATGTTTAACAGCTGATTCGTTACAGGCTCAAATATTGCTACTGCTAAACAATTACTTAAAATCCAAATGATTCCTCAACATAAACAGCCAAAAAAGAAAACAAAACAAAACAACTGTTTTGTTCTGATTAAACAATAGTTTTAATAGCTGTAAAAAGACTAGTTTGTTTTCAGAGATTAACCTTATCTTCCTAAACAGTTCTTAGTATACAAACAAGAAAAAAATGTGAGAATAAACATATTTTTTAAAGAGCAAAACAAATGAAAACTGGTGCGTAACTTTCTAAATACTTTATTGTGTAAGTTTCCTACCAAATAATTAATTTAGGGAAGGGTAACAAGTATGACAATCTACCTCATGCTAAACACTGAGTTTATACTTTATAAACAATTTCTCATTTAATCCTCACATCAATATTTTGAGGTATGCGTTATCATCTGCATTTCATAAGCAAGAAAACTGAAATAAGAAATATGAAACACCTTGCTGAAGGTCACAAAGCTAGTAAATGCTGCAGCCAAGGTTCAAGCCAAGGTATTTCTTGCATCAAGTGAAGAAAATATACTCACTTAAATATTAATTCAAAACAAGTGAACATTTGCACATCACATTTAGAAAGAAACACCTCTATTACACAACGTGGTATTTCTCTTAAAAATAACATTTATTGCATTTTCTGAACCTAAAGTAATACATATTTATTATAATAAATCTAGAAAAATATAAAATATACAAGAAGGGCTTCCCTGGTGGCGCAGTGGTTGAGAGTCCGCCTGCTGATACAGGGGACACGGGTTCGTGCCCCGGTCCGGGAAGATCCCACATGCCGCGGAGCGGCTAGGCCCATGAGCCATGGCCGCTGAGCCTGCGCATCTGGAGCCTGTGCTCCGCAATAGGAGAGGCCACAACAGTGAAAGGCCCGCGTACCACAAAAAAAAAAAAAAGTACAAGAAATTTAAAGTTACATTCTTACCACCCAGAGAAAACTATTAACCTTTTGTGTAGTTTTCTACAGTAGTACTACAGTATTTTTATGATGTAATATTCAACTTTATTTTAATTAGAAAGAGTAAAAGAAAAGGATTTTCTCAGGAGAAAAAGGCCACCTCAGGATTAGTGTTTCAGCAACAGTTCACATTCAGAGAAGAGATATATCTGGTCTTACTTCCTATTAGAAATGAAGAACTAAAGCCCAGAGAAGTAAAGTAATTTTCAAAAAGTCACAGAGCAATCTGGTGGTAGAACATGGCTAAAATACAGTTTTTTTTTCTAGCACCTTGCCAAGTGTTCATTCCATTATGTACCTTTTCTGAGTTTCTAGAGAATTTACAGCCTGTGACTCAAGATTTCAGTCAACATTGTATTTGCTTCAAGTTATTTCACACATGGCTCCTTCTCCCAACTAAATTGTCATCATTTAAATTCTCTCTCTATTCTTTTGTTTTATCTTTCAGAAGCTTGTTTATCATCCATTCCTGGTAAGCACAATTTTTCAACATCTTGATAATAAATAATTAAACCAAATTTAGCATCAGAAGACTTTGGCTCCTAAGCCACTTTTGCCTTCAGGAGCAGTTTTGAGGCTAACCTATGCCAACTCTTGAACTGATACAACAGAAGAAGCAAGATAACTGGGATCTATCAGTGTATTTATTCGTTTATTCATTCATTCAACATGTATTTACTAGACACAGGCTATGTCCTGTTCTGTTCTTCACACTGAGGAGTCCCTGCCCTCACAGGGTACAAATTCTTCCTCTAATTCCATTTGGGATATTATTTGTGCCTCATGAGCAACATACAGAGGCAGTAAGGAGGTGTCCTGACATCATACATCCAAATTGTTGACTGTCCAAGAAGTATGTGTGGTGCCCATCACACAGTGGCCATCACTGTCTAACTACCATGGCAATAATAATTTTTAGGTCAGTTCAGAAAATCTTTCTATAGGACCTTTATGCTAAGCACTAAAGCTACAGAAATCTAGAATTCAAGAGATAAAATATAATCCCTGCTTTTAAGAATCTCACAGTCTAGTAGAGAAAACAGATGTGTCTAAGAAGTAGGTGTTAGGGACCAGGATGGGATTATTTTAGGTTGTATTTTTAAGATTTATCTTCATGAGCCCACTCAAAGACAAAAAAACTAATCAGATGGATTTTTTTAAATCTAGGAATACAGTATTTATTCCTAGTACGTACTCTCCTTGACATCCTCCCACACTGTTTGTTAACTTGAGGGATCCAAATACTCTGGTCAAGTTGACTCTCTCCCCTTTCCAGAGGAAGTGTGCACCTTAATTATCGCAGAAGCATTTCCTGAAGATTCTGGGGAATTCAAGTGCATTGCAGAAAATGAGGCTGGGACTGTTGTCTCCACAGCAAGACTCTTTGTTTCTCCAGGTAACTCCTCAGGATCACCCTGCTCAAATTCAGCCCTGAGCCAAGAGGAAGATTCTGTTTCTATCTGAACTGGTGACTAATTATATTTTTCAGAAGGAAAAGAAGTGGAGAAATCAGACAATTCTCCAAAGTCACTCATGAGGACATTTTCTCCAAAACTGGCCTCCTTTCCCTGGAGCAGTGAGAGCTACACAAAGGGCAAAAATCCAGACAATACTCCAATAAACCTTATGCCAACTATTCCTGAAACAGCCAGTCACCATGAACATGAGATCCAGGTTCCAAAGGAGGATTTCTGTACCATCAATGAAAATTCCTCTGAGCTACAACCACAATGGTAAGGGCAGACAGACCTAACATTCACTCAATCAACAAATGTTCTTGGCTCTATATATAGAACAGTGAACATGACAAAGCTCCTGCCCTCAGTGAGCTTGCATTCTGAGATGACTCACTTTACCTGTGTCATTTCTCCCTTGCCCTCCATCATGCATTTCACCAGGGCCGAAATAGTAAGTCATGTGCTTAGATCCACATTTAAGGGTTTGGTACAGAAACTTAGTAAAAAAAGAAAATAACACCAACAATGTTGAAACGGCAAAAGATTCTGAAGAATGGGATCTTTTCCTGAAACAGAATTCAATGTCCTATCTCAATACAAATTGGTAAAACATTTTGTGATACAGGTTTCTTCACGGTTAGTCTTAGAATACAGACACAATTGTCCTTGCATTTAGAGGACAAATTGTAAATGGAAAGATAATTCAGTAAGCGAATTTGCCAACCAGGCTATGTTTAAAAACAACATAATCCACCACCATTCCCAGCCCCCAAAGACAAACCTCAAACGAAAATATTGATTTTTAAAAAACCTAAAAATTGATACTTGGAGACTCCAAGTCATTGGAGGGACTTCCCTGGTGGTCTATTGGCTAAGACTCTGCATTTCCAATGCAGGGGGCCCGGGTTCAATCCCTGGTCAGGGAACTAGATCCCACATGCCGCAACTAAGAGTTCGCATGCCGCAACTAAAGATTCCGCATGCCACAACTAAAAGATTCCCGCATGCCGCCAAGTAAAAGATCCCGCATGCCGCAACTAAGACCCAGCGCTGCCAAATAAATAAACATTTCTTTTTTTTTAAGTTATTGAAGACTAACAGACCTGGAACAGTGCGTGAAGTACATAGTAGGAATTCAATAAATAGTAGCTATTACTTCACTGCATTGTTCTTTTATCGAGATCAGCGTTATCTCCAACAACAGCCTATGACTGTGATTTCTCAGTTGGTCTCCTGGAATCCCTTTAGCTTATAGGATCACTAGTCACCTGGGCAGTAGCCACCCCTATAAATAAAGATTCCTCATGGGATCAAGGAAGAACGGGTGTGTGGAAAAATAAATAAGACTGCAATTTATTGAACAAACATCTATTAAGCACATTGTATGTGTTTTGTCAGTTTCTGTGCCTTGGGAAAATAGCCAATACTCATATCCAAAATTTTTCTCCATGAGTACCTGTGTTTATCAGTGAGCCTTTAGGACTTAAAAAGGCCTTGAATTTATAATATAATATCTTTCATATGAGACTACTATCTTTTTCATTAATAAAACCATTTGTGGGGACACTTATCGGGCAAAAGTTCCATGAACGTTAACAAGTTTTTTACTGAATGTCTACCATGAGCTAAATTGTCCTAGACAAGATAGATATATAAGCAATAAAGAATCCCTCCCTCAGAAAAAAAACTTAACCTAGTTGAGGAGATACATTATACCACATAATAGTCCACTATATGATTTCCTGTTTCATTTGAGTCTCTCAGCAACCCTGATTTAGGTTAGTAAAACTGATACTATCTTTGTTTTTTCAGTTAATTATTAAAGCTCAGAGAGTTGAAGCAACTTGTCTAAGGTTACACAGCAAGTATGTAGTAGAGTGGGCACTCACACTCAGGTCTCCAAAATAGATAATAAAAAGGTTAATGTCTAGAAAGCTGTAGAAGATCAACCAAATTAATGTTATCATTTTTACTGTTTGACTCCAAACCCAGTGTCCATTATTATTTCTTGCTTGAGAAGCATAAGATTGAGTCAACTACTACAATGGGACTCCCTTTTGCTATAGGTCTATGCAGAACTTCAGTAATCATAGTGATTAATGCATAACCTGAAAATGAATAAAACATTCTTCATTTTTTAGTCCTTTAATCTTCAATATGACATTTTCCTTCTCAGTTGAGACAGCAGAAATTAGCCTCATCACACACATCTGACCTCTGATTTTAGAAGCAGCTCACAGCACCATTTTTACAATCGCATAGATACTTCACATTTTAAAAAACAACATGGGACGAATGAGTGACAGTTAAACAGCTACCCTTCCACTGATGATGAGACAAGAAGGAATTCCCTGGACATGCAGCAAGAAACATTTCAGTAGGAAACATGTGAGATAGTAGGGAGTTACCTAC